TCCTGCTCCTGTTGTTGTCTCTCTCTTCTTTTTTCAGCACTCTCCTTCTCTTTGTGCGTGTTTGGTGGAAAACGAAGTGCTCGTACTGCCTCATTGTGCATGTTAAGACAGAATGCAATTCGAGAATTAAAGGCCAACTGAGGCTCATTTGTGGAGTAAATATCTCCAGTTTCCTTGGACACCATCCACCCGTTGGCATGATCCAATGTAGCATCAATTGCACCATCACGAATAGCCTTTGCTACAATGCTCTCAGCATCAGCAACAGGATTCGGAGAGTTCAGCCTCAGCTTTTTAGCAACATCAGCTAGAGAAATGCGAGAATAGGAGATGCTGATGTTACGTAAACCAGTTCTGATAACATTATGGCGCAATCGAACAATCAAATTATGGGTTCTATCTGCAGTGAAGGTAGTGGCAAACTTGTCTGCAATATTCCTAAACAGTTCCAAGTCTCCAATCCGTACAGCCTGAAATATTTACAACATAAGCTAACAATATCACAAAAGAAAGAAAAAAAAATATATATATATATATATATATATATATATATATATATATATTTATATACATATATATAAGATTATTATGGATATGAAAATAATAAATTTTTGAGAGAACAATAGAGTTCAGAATATGTAAAACTGAACAGTTCTTGTGGAGTGAATTTATAATTCAACTACAGAAAATTTACTTGTAATGATTAAAAAAGAGAGGGAAAACGAGCCAACTAATCATAATGATATCAGAACCAGCCTACAGTGTTATTATCATGATAAACATAGGATAATAATGTAGACTTACATTTGTAAGCTCAAAGTAAGGCCTTAAAGCTTTTTCCATTCCTTTCTGCATAAAGACAGTGCGCTCAGGTATTTCTCCCAACAGTAACCGAACTATCACAGCCCACTTGTTACATTGAATTCGAAAACCCCGTGCAGCAACTGGAGCTTTCCGGGCAGCCTGCAGGAGAGACTCTTTTGCATCTGTATACTCCAATTGAATTGTCCGAATTTTCCCAAGGTAGAAGAGGTAGCGACAGAACTGAAACGGTGTACCACAAATGTGGATAAGTGAAGGAAAATCTCAAAAAGGATAAGAAAAATATTTAACAATAAATTAGACTACATAAACAACAATAACACCATTATTGAGGACCTCCACAAGGTCTTTATCACAACACTGACGAGCACTGTATAATAGATAGGTTTGTCTGCCCAAATTGAAATAAAAAACATCAAAACTTAGATGGTCAGAATAACAGAACCACCGTACCTGTTGGTTTGAATGCGCTTCAAATCGAGGAGCCTTAGACCTCAATTTTTCTGCCTGATCATATAGATTGTAGTGAAGGTAGTTGCGGAGCAGCAAATTAAGAAGTGTTTCCTTCAATGAATCAACAGTTAACAGATAAGTTTAAAATAAAACACTTTGCATAAATTGTGTGACTAATCAGTTTATGCAGGGAACATTCATTGTATGTACATAATTAAATACAACAAAATTTTAAAAAGAAAAAACTAAAAAACCCTAATTACATACATATCACTGTGCAATTGAGAATCTATAATAACTATGAAACGTGCTTGGTTGAGTTTGTTGTGACAACAACTACTGAACTATATCAAGGATCATAAGCATTTGGCATAAATTGCGTGACTGATCAGTTTAAGCAGGGAACAACAGAATTAAAACAAAAAACCAACAAAACCTAATTACTGGCATATCACTGTGCATATTGATTGAGAATCTATAATAACTATCAAATTTGTTCTTGGTTGAGTTTGTTGTTACAACAACTACTGAACTTTAGTAAGGATCATAAGCCCTTACGTAAAAAACCTAAAGTGAAAACATACCTGGCCCAACTCGTCATGGCGCAGGGTGGCAATTCGGTGCAATGCAAGGAGGTTGCTGAAAACAAATTCCAAAATTAAAATTACTTAAAAATACAATTCAGTCTTCAACATCTCTCAAGTATTAGATAAATTAGCACTTAACTCACCCACGGATTTCAGCAAGATCTCCCGTAAGCTCATAACTATATGAATAGTAAAAATACAGTCTGGATGCAATAACATCAACAGTCCTCCTGTTTGTGTTCTTCAGCCAAACGATGCTAGCTGAGGAACAAGCTTTGGCCTAAAGAGGTAGTAAAAACAGCAGTATATAATCAGTTTCAGTTGTCAATTCGAAAAGTTGAAAAAGGGGGACTGACCTCATTGTATTTTTTTTTATCAATCAGAAAAAGTAGTACGAGCAGGTAACAGTAGATTTCTAGCTCGGGCAACAAGTGTTTAGCTGGGGTTTGAATTGCAGATGTTGCGGCATCCACTTCCATCTCGTGATCATCCTCCTACACATGCAGTGCGGACATTATGACTCCAAAAATAATTGAAATACACTCATCGACCCACATCCACTATACAGTTAAATCATTTGCCGGCATCATAATTTAGATTTTGAATTAAATGAACCAAAAAAGACTACTCATAATTCAAATTAGGTTAATAAGAACAAAATATGTAAGTCCTTATCAACAGGAACAACCCTAAATCTAACTTGAAGGTCACCTTGGGAAGATGCGCAGACAATTTTGCATGAGCTTCAGAACCAGTAGTGAGGACGTGATCAAGAAAAGACGAGATAATCGACGCTGTTAATTTACGCCTCAACGCAATTGTAAGGCGAACAGCACGAGCAATTCTACGAACTTCCTTCGTGTACGAACCGGTCTCGATAAGCGACGCTATCTCCTTCAAATCTGCGAGCGAAACCAAAGCAAAAAAATGAAAAACTAAAATGGCTTTATAGAACTGCGAAATCGGAACAGAGGAAGAAAAAAATACTGACGCTGCAGAGTAGACGGAGCAGGTAAAGAAACGGAGTTGGAAGGCGTTGAGCGATCCTTCATCTCGAGATCTTGAGTCATGTTGAACAAAATCTAGTGAAAGCGGCACACACAAGAAAAATTTGGGGAATCTGATAGAAAACCCCAACAGAATGAAAAGGAAGGGTGAAAGAAGAACCACGCAAGGCACGGTTGTAAGGACCTTGATGACATAAAACGGGCCTACGGTCTTCAACCCTAACATTCAAGACAATACCGTAGGTTGTTTCCCAAATACAATTATAAAACTTCCATTATTATATGATATTTTTTAATTTTAAACAATATTTTTCTGGGATTATTAAAATTCATCCTATCTCAAGAAATAGCATTCCTGATTATAGTATTCCTAGCAACACACTGTTATACCTTGAAATAACTGCCCACAAAGAAATTAGGCAAATTTAATTAGTTAGATACAGGGGATTGCTTAAGTGACATATATCCCATATTCGCATTGTTTAAGTTGAGAAAACTGAGAAAAAAA